AACAATGAGGTGTGTTATATCGATGACACAAACAATATGTAATAATGTAAATATTATAATTGCAGTGGTGGCTATTTATGATTATTACGCGGATAAGGAAGACGAGCTAAGTTTTCAAGAGAGTTCTGTGATCTATGTGCTCAAGAAAAATGACGATGGATGGTGGGAGGGGGTAATGGACGGTATAACTGGATTATTTCCAGGAAATTATGTCGAACCATGCGTATAATAACTACATGCAATAATTGGCTATATCAAAATAACTAACGGAAGACTGCAATTTTTAAGCATTTATCATACATGTACGTATTATTAATCGCATTTATATTAATCATTAATATCTCGATTGTAAACGAAAATATTCTTTATTTTACTTTTCGTTCAAATTGAGATAATCGTAAGATTACACAAAAAATGATGGATGCTCATAAACACAAAAGACACGATTTTTGTCTTATAGATATTATTTTATAATTTATTGATAAAAAGAATTTATATAAGCCATGTGTTATAACGGTAATGTGGATGATGACAGCATATACACGTGCGTTAATCAACAATAATCTGCAAGGGATGCAGTGGACGGTGCAAAGGTCGAAATATCAACAAACTTCCTTCTCATATATCATTGTAGATGTTTTGCATTCTCTATTTAGAATATTTTCTACTCTAAGCCTGATCTACAAAGTGCTTTTTGTTTCCCATTTTTTGTTTCTTACTTCTTGTCTTTTTCCTCCTCTTTGCGCGACTGTTTTATCAACAATCGTTACATGTTTCTTATCTCTTTCGAGATTTTTTTATTTATCTCGGACGCGGCGAAAAACGAAGGAATAACTGAGGCAGAAAGGCAAGAGATAAAATATGGTAATAAGCAAAAAACAGAAAGCAAAGAGCACAGATTAGGTTTTATTTTGCCCTTATTATACGCGAGCGATATTTTGCCGCACTTATAATCGTGCAAAATACCGAGTGGTAAACAGTCGTCGCAACGTTACATGTAACATGAAAGTGTGTATGGTATTTGATTATCGAAAAGAAGAAATTCAGTCGAGCGAGTTCTGAATCAAACGTTAAAAAGTTCAATTTTTATATTAATGTAAGAAAATGTATTTTTCTGCATCTTTAGTATTTCCTCGAGTAGATATTGAATTATATATACTATATATAACAATGGAATTATATTCTGTTATTTACGTACCCATATATATACATATATGTACATATATCTATATGTGTATAAGATCACACGTTGCAATAGACATCTCTTACCTCTGGATCCTTTTGCATTATTTGTACACTTATATCGAAAGTCGTACGATTGTTAATAAAAAAATTTCACATAACGATTGCAACATTTCATAAGAATGTAAATATTATAAATTATTATATATTCTTCACAGACACTCTCTCTCTCTCTTTCTTTCTCTCTCTTAACATAAAATAAAACTATAAGATAGGTAAAATGCAACTTTTTAATTTCCAATAATGTGCATCAAAGATTGATTAATATGGTATTTCCTAAAGTTATTTTTTTTTCTTTTTATATATATCACAATTATGGATTCTCATATACAAACAACTTTCTACGCGCGCATCATTGGTCAGTTTGAGATAAATTTAATCTTTTTTTAGGATATTTTTTCTTTTTTTCTCTTTTTAGGAAAAACATACAAACATGGTTAGATACATTTTAAAGAACTATTATATAGACGAATCAATCGGCGGGTATCGGTAAAGTAGGAAAATACTCCTGTGCCTTTTTCGCGGCGGAGTATTCCACGTTGTAGACGGGATGGATCACTTCTACCTTATTCGTAAGCCTTCCGATGATCGACTTTGTTGGTGAGTTTTGCGCAATCGATAATCCACTAAGAACATAACATGTGTGGTATATGTCACGATTTCTGAAAAAAGAGGAAAAAGTTATCACATGATTAATGCGACTAAAATTACTCGCCAATAAAATTATATTTACGGTAATCACAGATGCGAAGACCATAATCACACATACTTTCCTGGTTTGTCCAGAAGACCACCATGCGGGTTTTGACAGCAAGTTAATATATACTCTTGTAAGGCCTCTTGGTTGAACAGCCAGTGGTCGGAATTGTTGAATCCTTTTCCCTGCATCGACAAAATAGCGGCGATCAATGGGAACGTCCCACCTTGCCAGAAAGAATAGCATCCATCCACCAATTTGTTTGTACGTCCTTGGAAACCGCCTTCCAAACGCATCTGCTTATTTACAATCCACCTCTGCGGGATGACGAGTATGTGAACGTAAAGAAAAGCTCCGTATTACGAAAGCGATCACTGCGGTTACTGCTGGTAAAGATGTTACTGCAATCATAAAAAGGGACTCACCAACAACTCCGGTAAATGGCACAGCTCTGTTCTTCCGAGCATTACGAGTGCTGCCAAAGCGCAATATGCATATCCACCGTGAGCCTCCATTCCTGGACAACCACCGAAACCACCCTCCCACGTTTGACATTTGGCTATCCACTCGGCGGTGCCCTCGAACATATCCGGCGTGTACACGTTTGTCAACTTGGCAGCAGCAAGGGCACAATATGTCCCACGTATGTCTATCTCGCCATTTTCATGCATACAGAAAGAACCGTCCTCTCCGCGCAAGGACGCCAGGAACCGTTTCAAGTTCTTTCTAAAATTGTAATAATTTTAATTATTATATAAGAAGCAAAAACTATTTAAAATTTAAAAATATGCAAAATACTTTTAAATAATAGCGTTAGTACAAAGAAAATTATTGAATTATATACCTATCTATCACATCGTATGCTTCTTGTGTACCAATGGTGCATAATGCGTTTACTGCGGCATATGTAGACGCTAAATGTGGATATTGTCCTGGACCGCCGCCGAAACCACCTGTCGACGATTGACATTTAGCCAGAAAGCCTGCTATCTTGGAACACTCTTCACTTTCTAGTCGTTCTCCTAATATCGCAAGTGAATGCAATATCCAGAAGCACAGCCATGGTCTACTGGAGTCCAAACACTATATGGTATCGTTACAAACATTCAATAAGTCCCTTGTTACAAACAGAATGATATTTCTTCTCAACCATCTTCAAAAGCAGTATTACACACACATAACGCTATTTGATATTAAAAGTGAATACCTCATAAGTATCATTTAAATTAGTAATTGCTTTCTTCAAGAACTGAATGTGTTTAGGCCTAAGTAAAATAGGATCTCCTTCTCTACATGATCGGTAAAACTTGAGCACAATCTCCTCGACACGAGCCTGAAAAGATGTACAATCAAAAAATTATACAAGTTTTAAAATAAAACGCTATAGTAATTTGTGGCTTCAAAAGTAAGTCAAATATAAATAAAATATCTATAAATGAATCTCTGTAATTGTTCACGATTAAATTATGTACAATTATAGAAGCTCATATTCTACAAATGTGTGACATATTTTAAAACTATGACACAGAATATTTGACAAATAATAGATAAAAAGAGTTATTTGATAACATGGAGAGACCTATCTACCTGTTCGTTTGTTGTTGCAGTTTTATGTCCTCTTTCATCTTGCCGCTGCTTCAATATTTCCTCATAACTTCTTCGCCCTGTCTTCAGTTCCAAGTCCGACATAATCTGATTGATCATAAACGATAATAATGATTTGACATGGTCTGTTAATAGAAGTAGTTTATTTCACAAAACAAAACGTCCCGACAGTCCGGGAATACAATTTATATATTTTATTTGTAATTTTATCACAAAGTACCCAAAAGATCGAGATTCTTTAAAGGTTAAGAAATTTTTCTTTCTTCCTGTCCCTTTCTACAACTGTCCATTTAAAAAAATTTACGTACTATACATTTTTATATGACATACCGTATTTACTCACATTTAAATTTATGTATATTAGGTGTTATTGTATATACAATGTTAACTGATATTACAGTTACACTCATAACCTATTATTTTATTAACACTACTGCACCGAATGCACCGACTGACACCTCTGTGTGTGAAGCCGTATAAAACTATGAAGCAGAGCAGCTCCGCATAGAAGTCAATAGAAGTCTCTGAGTGCGATACTTGAAATTGCACCTGAAAGGTACCTTCAGGACGTAGTTGACTGTCGAGGATACATGGAATAATACTGAAATCGTACGTCTCCCTGCATTTATCCTACGCGATTTCTACCATTTCTACAAAGCGGATTGCTTTCCCTAGTTTACTCCTTCCGCCGAAGGACATTGAAATAAAGATACGATCAATTCTCTACGATTTTTCTCTTTTTTTGGATCATTGTTCTACTCGCGTTGTAGAGGAAAGAGATATGGTTCCAATCAATATAAAAATTCATTATTCGAGATCAGGATTTTAGGCACTTCAGTATTTGGATTTTGGAAATTCCTGATATATCTTTCAAAACAGGAACGTCTTCCTGTTCTTTCATTATTTCCTGTCTGCAGTGTGGTTGCTTTGTATTTTTTTTCATCGTTTTTTCTTTTTTATTTTTACAAGCATTTTAACACGTTGCCCGGCATACGTTTACATGTATTCTGTACATATATTGCATGATCTCGTCATATTTACGGATCAATGCATGTATAAGTTATGTACATACATACGTGACTACATATTTAAATTTAAGCTAGGAAGCGAGACGGCGTAGGTAGATTAGCGGATTAGTAAAATCCGAAAATCGAAAAAAGAAAAGAAGGTCGAGTGAAAATGACTATGTCGCGCTCCTTCCTCCCCTGTAAGTAAATAGAATTAATGAGGATTATTAAGTGAGTATGAATCATCGGGCGCAAAATGCGCACGCACTTGGCGTTTTCTGCGTGTTAACAGAACGTGATTTACGTCCTCCTACGCGTACATCGCGGTTGGTCGGCTAGCGAGGCCGGGTGGGGTTAGCGGGGTACGTTGAGTTTTTTTTTTTTTCTTATGTGAAACTGTGTTGAAAACTGCGCGTCCACGGTTATCGCGCGTCGCGCGTGTTGCGCAACGCGAGGCGAGGTGACGCGAGATACTTCTAGCCGCTGTCGTTGCGCCGCCGTTGCGCGTCCCGTTAGCGTCGCCTAGCGTCGCCGCGCGCGCGGAAACGGTGAGTTTTCTATAAATAGCGGTGTCACGTATAATTCGCCGTGGTGGGCCAACCGGCCAACTCTCTTACCCGCCGGAACGGGCCAGTCGGAGCCAGTTGCCGACGTTGATGGGAGATAGGTAGGACGCTCATCGCGAACGACGTGACTCTCTTGATCGTTGACGGCACCGCGTGCTCGTCAGTGTTCGTTCGTGCTCGTCCGTGATCGTCGTCCGCGGAGAGCTCTCGATGAGAAGTGCGTGACGAGGAGGGTCGTGGAGATGGTAGAAACAGGGCTCTAGCAAAAAGGACCGCGACCGTGTCCTTCGGGGAGGGTGCTATTTTTAGGCGGTATATGTTCGGGCATATGTTCTCCCCAAAGGCCCCTGCGATTCTTTTCTAAAACTGAGCAATACCTTTAATCGTCCACTGGACTGTTTACTGGAGGGCAATTACTTACTAGTCCTTGAGAGAGGCGATTTCCTCTACCACCCGGTGTTTTTGTTTGTTCTACAGAAGAATGGAGAGCGAACAGCATCACTATGAGCTTCGCAGCAGAAGCAGATCACGTTCCCATACGCCTATGGTTCAAAATCGTCCCCAACAGGAGCCAGAGCTAACAGAGCGTCATTATGATCTCAGAAACTGGAGCCGGGAAAGATCGCACACACCTGGAGAAGTAACCAGTAGCAGAAGGTCTGGCTCTAGATCATTGTAAGTAATCATAAATATCTAAACATAAAAGCATTTCCTGTTAATGATTATAGACGAGTTTCATTATCGCTTTTGTATTTACACGACTATAGAACTGGCAGCAGTGTAAAGACGCATGAAAAGAACATGGAAATCATAGAGGAGAGCAAGGAGGGATCTGTCACAGACAGTCTGATAGATAATCAAAGCACAAAGTCCGAAAGTTCTGCCGTCACCACAAAAAAAGTAGAACGCCGGTCGGAACGTCAACGAGCCAAAAGGCAAATATTTGTCAATGGCCAGAGCGAAAGTAAGGAGGACGCATCTGACAAAAAAGCAGAACAGAGACGCAAAAGTGTTACGCCACGCAGAGTACTTACCAGTGACTACTCCTCTGAAGAAGGAGAGAGAGAAGATCCTCCAAGTAGGCCAGGCTCTGCCTTTGAGATTTACAAGCGGGCTGGTGAATGGTGGAAGTACGAATATTTTAAATTCTGATTTTCTCTATACTCTACGTTTCCTGTTTTTCCTTTTAACAGGAACTTTTTAATTGGAATGTTAAATGATTATGTTAGTAACGAATCCTCTTCCTGTGACTTACATTTGTTTGATTTGATGTTGTTTATTTTGAAAATATGATCTTTCCGTTGGATAAACAAACGTTTATAAATAATAGCATGTCTTAATTAGTGTTAGTCACAAGGTATAGGTCAAGTTGCAATCTAATGCTAATAAGTAGTATTGGAATTAAACGAACACTTGTACGAAAAATCAGATTATTTGTGAATGTTTTAGCGTGTTTCCAAAGACAGATTACACATATTCACCAACGTCGCAGTATCGGTACGAGATCGCCCCAGGTATATTAGCCATGCCCAATATGTCGAGACGGTCTATACATGTGAACAACAATGGAAGTACCGTATCTCAAACCAGTCGAAATTTAAGTCAGGCTTCGAGAGGAACGACGGAAAGCGGAATCGGCGATATGGACACAATTGATTTGAAAGAGACCGCCTCTCTTATTCATTCGGTAAGTATTTGCCATTTTCTTCAGAACCATTATTCTCTTATTTTTCTCCATGTACGCCATGACATTGCATATTTGTGTTCTAAAACAATACGTGAATTTTGCAGTTCGAGGATAATTGCAACACAGCGAATATGTTGAGTTCTACAGCAAAAACGACTTTGTACAAAAAGACACACGTAGAACAGTACACAAGTAATAAAGAAGTAATTTATTCGAATCCGAGATATTCCTCAAATCGGTTAAGGTATTTTTTATTTTTTCTCAAATATTAAAATAAAACTTGTTGAAATAAAATTAAGGTAAAATCTTATTTCAACAGATACTTATCGTGGGTGAATACTCCAATTGGAAAATATGATACATCTCATGCTGATTCTGATACCGATTTGGATGATACTTACATAAAATCATCGGTTAAAACTAATCAAAATTGGAGGGTCGTGCAATGGTTCACATATTTTACAGCCTTCATTGTCACCTGCTTCAGAAAAACTGTCGAATTCTTCAAATTCAAAACGGATAGGAAAAGACAGTATTATGTTTCACAAGCTTATCGATCATACAATGGTATTATTGATATTAAAAAACAGTTTATTCGTTTTCATTCGATAGCGCAACATCCTAAAGTCGAGACAAGGTTTACCTCTTAAGAGGTTTTTGTAATAATGAATTCTTTTTCCGAAATTAGATTGTTAGACTAATGTCCAACTCCCAGACTCTCTGGGATTCATACATATTTTTACTAATATATGGGACGTACATATAATTTAACTCTGGATTCGAACGACGCTGGTAATCGTAGATTAATCACCAGGTGGAGCCATTTTCGGCTCCATAAACGCGAAAATTCGTATGTGTGGGCGCAGGTGCGATTGAACTCTACACATTGCGAGTCAATCGCACCGAGCGACGAGCTCGGTCCATTCAAGAAATATAATTTTTTTATAAACAAAAAATTTAAATACAGTAAAAAATATTTTATAAAAAAAATTATACAAAGATTATATAATCGAGCGTAATATAATTATCTTTTTTATGCTATATAGCGAATTTATACTATTAATATTAAATTAATACAGAGCTGTTAACTAATTTTCTTATTGTTTGCTGTTTCTAGAATCCAAATGGAGTTCGTTGTGGCAAACTTTGGACCGTTATACGCACAATGTGTACTTTTTCTTCGTCAGAATGCTTGTACTTGATGCTTGGCTGTTGAGTCAATTCACTGGCGTTAGGAAATGGCTACAAGGGAAAGGTCCAAAGATTCTATGGATTACGTTTCTACCGTTACTTCTTTTATTTGGTAAGTTTTTTCATTTTGTTTAAGGAATGTAAACGAAAATCAGAGAGACATCACTAAATTTCATTTTAATTAATCCACATGAAATCTAAACCGATCCGAACATAGTCAGACCAATGTCTTTCCCTGGGACCTGAAAGATGCATAAACCTATCCTGGCCTTCGTTTTTTTTTTGTTTCAGGGGCTTACATCGCGCAGAGGCATTATTTCACTTTTGCGGACTCTGTGCGCAATGTCCAATATGGTGTTATTGAGACAACTTATTACATCTTTAACAATATAAGCAACTTAATGTCTTTTGCCTTTGAATCGTTTACAAAATACCTTGCAGATCTTAAAAATTATTTCATGCACCTCTTACAGAATGTGAACGTGTCTTTGCCTGAAATGCCTCCCATTGGGTGGAATATAAAGTAGTGATTAATTGAAAAGTGTTGTCAGGATAATAGATATATATAATTTAATCCAAATGAATGGAAGCGGTATAAATATTTGATTTTTTTTTTTTATAAAATTATGATGAAAGCAAAATCTATTATATTGCAATTTCTCGTTCGATTTATAGTATAACATTTTTTCAGACTTTCTTAAAAATGTTTATATAATATTTTTAAAAATATATAAATACCGCTTTTATTCATTTATTCCTCAAATTAATAATTGTGTACAATTTAATATTGTTTTTATTTTTTCATTCTATGAAAAAGTCAGTATACATCACCAATATTTGTTGTTACATTATCAGGGTTGCCACAAGTCAGGGAAGTCAGGAAAAGTCAGGGATTTAGCACACTTGTCAGGGAAAATAAAATAGCTGTAAATAAATTTATATTGCCTTGTGCTTCTATGATTAGTTTGAACTACCTTTTTTTTCTTTTTTTTTTGAGAATTCGTTTCCTGAAGAAAATGTGCATCTACGTTACGTTGCTGGTTGAACAGAATATTTAACATTTTCCATGTTACGGTAAAAATACAAGAAACATTGCAAAATATATATTATTCACAGTCAGGAAAAATCTCAAAATTTTATCACTAAATCAGGAAAATGTCAGGAAATTGTACGATTAAAAATTTATGGTAACCCTGATTATTATAAAATTTTGATAATTTATGAATAGAATATCCATTTAATAATTCCCCTAATTGTTTGACATTTAATATTTTTGCATATATATTTACCATATAATATACTGTACAATATTATTTCAAAAATTCTATGATTTACTTATTTAAATTACAAATAATGAAATATTTTTCATTATTTGATTTAAATAAGCATATTTTCAAGATATGTATGTACACATATTGACTATCAGTACCTCTTTGCTTATTATTTTATTTACTAATAGACTAATATTTCATTGTATGAGAGAGAGAGAGAGAGAAGATACATATATATTTATCGATATTTTATGCATAATTATACATATATTGTGTATGATGTTTTATATATTTTACACACATAATTATATATTGTGTTATACTTCAAGAACTAACTGGTCATATGCTGTGTTATATTACATGAACTAACTGGTCATATCACTTTTAGTCAATTTTTTTGTTATACATTATATATATTCTATTACATATTTTATGTTCTACAATATTTAATCCTATAGATATAAAATGCATAATATTTTATAATTTAATCATTATTAAATAAAATAACATTCAACACTTTATCAGTTAACCACCACACGTGTATTTTGTTTTCGTTTTTACACGCTTTAAAGATATAACAATATTTTAATATAATTGAGAATATATGTTAGTTAATATCTATATTGTAAAAACACGTTCATACTTAATAAAATATTTTTCATGTATATGATATTAGTAGTCTTTTGAATACAGTCCGTTAGAGTGATATAGCGTCATAGTGTCACAATTGTTGAGCGTTTTACGAAGTTAATCTTTTTGAAAAAGCGAAAAATAATTTTATTGTGGGAGAAGGATAGGGGGAGGATTACTCTACTGTGGGCGTTAAAAAGTCAGAGTGTGTTGTGCTTGAAATATTTGGAATCGTGATCGCGATCGATATCATCTGAACGGTGAGTTTCTTCGTCTATCCTTCTCTCAGTTACCATATTGTAATAATAGTTCCACTTTGAACAATTACGTCATTGTAATTGTTCTGTGCCATTAAAATTTAAGATGTATTTGAAATCTTTGTGATTGTACTTTTAATTAATTTAATAATTGGATAGATTTGTGGCACTAATTTTATGTTGGAACGATGTAACAAGTTCAATACAGTAACAGGAGAAGGAGATTACAATAATCGCGTTTGAATTATGAAATGTTTATGGATATGAAAATTTGTTTCAGGTGGTTGGTGCGTAGCACAATATTTATCGCTTCTCTCTAACGTTAAAACTGTGACTGAAACCACAATAGAAAAATCATTATCTAATGTACAATGGGAGGATCATCAACATAAAATTATTGAAAAAATATTGACTGACAATGAAATAATTAAAGAAAATTTAGTTAACAAAGCTGATTTGGTCAACAGGATAGAAATGCTTGAGAATAGACAGACGCATCAAATGGTATAAATGTAAAATTTGTTTGCCTAGTTATATTTTGTGTTCCATTATATCTTACTTATCATTTTGTAGGACTATCTAATTAATATTACTCGGACTCTAGAAGATCGTAAGCAAAGTGATGCCAATTTCCGGAAGGAGTATGATGTAAGTTTATGAATTTATATTATTATCTCTCTCTCTCTCTCTCTCACACACACACACACACACACACACACACACACACACACACACACACACACACACACACACACA